CAGGCAGCGGCCCCGCTGCCAGATGGTCTCCGTCCCCTCCCACACAGGTGCTCCGAACGTGCCAATTCCCTCCTCTTCCATTTCCAGCAGCTTTCTTCCGCCGCCTCCGCTCGTTTGGATGCGCGGTCCCTCTGGCACGTGACGGTGGCGAAGCACAAAGACTTCTGCTGACCCGAGGACGCGGCTCTCGCCGTCTTTCGTGATAAATTGCACCTATTTACGCCCGGCAGGGCTGCTGCCAGCCTTTCACCCCCAGCCTACCCGCTTCCCAGGGTACGAACGCTTCCATGTGTGCACGGGGGAAAATCCCAAATGCTAAGGAACCCGCTCGGCGACTCGCACGGGGTCGGAGGAACACGGTCGTGGCGGTGGAAGTTTGCCCCAGTTTTCCACGTGAAGGTTGCTAATGCTTCCATGATTGGGGGGAAAAAAAAAAAAAGCAGGGAATCAAGTTCATCCCAAACCAGTTGTTCTAATGGAGGTGCAGGAAAATTAATGGCAGAGCTGATCAGGGATAAATCACGCTGAGTTAAATAAAGAGGTGACGAATTAACACCGATGAACTTACGGCGTAAGAGTAGCTGGGTTGGTTTTTTTAACCAAATGCGTAATTTGTCTGACAGTTGTTCAGATCCAAGACTTTCGGATCGTTGGGCAGTCATGTTTGTAATCCATAAATTTGCAGGATACTATGTTAGGACAGGTGAAACGGCTCAAGAACTGGTGACAAACCCGACAGGTGATTAACGAGGGTCGTTAACCTGCGCCCGCACACACACCGGGCGTCTCAGCCCCGCGCCGACGTTCGGGATGAGGAACAGAGACCGTCCCACAGCAGAAAGGTTTGATCGTTTTACGCGGAACCGGAAAGCGTTGTTGGTTTTTTTTCACCTCTCTCCATTTCCAGTCTTCACGGAAATCTTTCCACTCTCTCAAAAATAAAACAAAAATTTAAGCGTCCCGCTCCTCGAGCGCAGGGAGCTCGTTGCGCTCCTCCGGCAGAGCGAAGCGGAAGGAAAGCACAGGGGGACCAGTGGAAGAGGAACTGGTGGTGCTGCTCACAAAGTGGTCATCCCGCTTCGCCGGAGTCTTCGTGTCGCCGGGACAGCTCATGGGATGAACCAGCACTTCGGTAGCCGGCAACTCCAAATAAGTTTTAAAATTATTAATTATTTTGTTCTTTCAGGTCAAGGACATCCATCTCCGTCCGCGCTTGGGATATATTTCCACCCACAAGCTTCGCTCCGACGTCTTCCCGCTGAGCTCCGAGCGCCTCCGTGGCCCTCGGACTCGTTAGGGCACCTCCTGTTTTCCCTTCTTGCCAACCCCACCGGCCACGTGCGCCTCAACCGCGGCGCTGCACCAGTAACGTACCGGTTGGTAGTTGATGGCTGGATTCATGCTCGGAGTTGTCGTGCGGATGAGGCCAGGCTTGGGAGGGACCCGCTGCCCTTGCAACTGGGCCGGGTTCGGCGCGATGACGCGCTGCGACATGAGCATGTGGGGCAGGGTCGTGTTCGTGGCAGACCTGATGACACTGTGACCCTGTCGAGAAAGCAAACAAAAAATAAAGTTTTTTTTTAAAAAAAAAAAAAAAGGATTTAAGGCAAACCAGGATTTTGAGCCCCCTGATCAGGTTCTGCAACGGCAGGGACACCGCTCAAAGAACTTTAATTTTCCTCTAATTGTCCTTTAGCTCAAATAATCACTCCGTTTCGCCTGGATGGAGGATGTCCCAAGTTGACACACTCATATTTTCTGTGGAGAGGCTGGAATTGTACCTGAGTCAAGAAAAAGGGTAATGATGTCATGGAGCAACTGCTTCCCAGGAGCCGGCCAGCTCGCCGGGAAGAGGACGGACCTCCAGGATCCAGGCTGGGATGCTTTGGAAGGTAATTTTTGAAGACACGCATCCGTGGCCTACCTTTGAGTGGAAAACAACCCGTTTGATTCGATCGATATGGAAAAAAGAGGATTAAGAAAAAAAAAAAAAGGGAGGCTGTCTGCCAGCTGCACGGAGTTATTAAATCCAGAATTCACACCGGCGCCGAGTTCAAAGGGAAACGGTTTGGGAGACGGGTGTTTGCTGTC